AAAAGCAATATTCTGGGTCTACAAATATGCAGGATGATATATAGGCATTAAAAATTAACTAACCGTTAAAAGCCATATCCCTTAGACCGCCCGGTTTCCGGATCCATTATCAATTGTATGCTGTCAATGTTTCCAAAAGGTTCAAATATTCCTCTTAACATATCTTCAGTTATATTGAAATGTAACGAACCAACATATAATCTCATGGGACCAGTATGGACCTTTGGTGCTAAATTGGGCATTGAATTACCCATGCGATTTTTTTCAGCCTGTGTGTGCTGAACTACAATCGGTATTCCTAATAACTTTGTCCTGTTAGACCTAAGGCCTGTAATTAAGACAAAAACTAAAATGGTAATTAACATTTACAATATATTTAATCAGGGCATATATAGTTTTTTTTTTTGTGCCATTTTATTGTACTAAAATGGACATTAATGTTCAAGATATATTATTATAGGAATTGCCACAAAGTACTTACCAATGGCACACTTTCAGGATCTTTAAATCTATGTATGCATGCCTTTGAATCTTCTGGTTTTATTACATGTTATAAGTCGTACATCCCTCACTTTACCCACACTGGAGAAAAAGTCCTCAAGATCTCTTGCTCTTATCCTCTGATTGAGCTGCATACAAAAACTGTTCTTGCATCTCTTTCCTCCGGACTGAGTTCTTCAGCTGTTGACTTGTATCCGAGAGCATTTGGAGGTGTTCGCCCTCTGTGTTTAGGGAATGGACGTGGTGATGGTGATCTATTACGTCGTTCTTTACTGCGTCTTCTATAATCATGTCTGATATATAAAAATATTGAAAGAACAATTAGCATCATGCAATATATAATAAAAATTAGATATAAAATTAAATCAATGTTTCACATAGCAGCCAAAAGAAGACTAAGTAAATCAACTAATATAATTTGATAATATTTTGGAATTTAAATTATAATATATCTAAATTGTTTATTACAATGTTGATCTCCTGAAACATATGTTTTATAATATAAATATTTATAAACTGTAAGTATATACATAAATTGTTCTGAGTAAAATAATATCAAATAGTATAAAGTGATAACAAAAAATTTTACTCAAAATTCATTTAGCATAGATTTTCCCCCCAAAATGTTGAATAAAAACCAATCATCTGGGTCTACGTATATGCAGAATTCAATAGTAATTAACTATTTTACACAATAAAAAAAAACTCAAACCTGTCCTTATCCCTTCTGTCCCTAGATCTGCTTCTCCTTCTGTCTTTTCTATCCCGATCTCGAGATCGACCTCTATCTTCTTTATCTCGATCTTTCACACGATCTCGATCTCTGTCTTTGTCTCTATCTTTATCAGAGCGATCCCTATCCCGGTCTCTGTCCCTGTCCCCTTTGGAGCGATCTTTATCCCTGTCCTTCCTATCCCTATCCCTGGACCTACTCCGATGACGAGATTTGCTAGAAAAGAAGTTATATTGATACATATAATAACCATACTTATACCAACTGTATACATATGTAATATATAATAATTGTAAAAGGTTGATCTATTTTTGTTGAACCTCTAAAACAAAACATAATACAAATAACAATTCTAATTTAATCCTAATTTATCTAATTCTTGTTGAACTGTTAATAGTTATAAAGTATATATAATAAATTGTTTTGAGTAAAATAATATCAAATAGTTTGAACTAAACTGATAAATATATTCACTCAAAATTCATTTAGCATAATTTTTCCCCCCAAAATGTTGAATAAACAATAATCTGGGTCTACAGGTATGCATAATAAAATAGCAAGCATTTCAACTATTGTACACCAAAGGTGAATAATATAGAAATACTATTATTATTTATAAAATTAGAAAGTACCTGGATTTGTGAGAAGATGATCCATTTTCCCGACTTCGTCCATTTGTTTTAGGTGCATCATCCTGTTAAACAGCAAAACACGAGTGAAGAAAGCAGCCAATGACACCGCACAGCAAAAGGTAAAATTCATATATCATTAGCTTTTTCTAAACAAATAATTATTTTAAACAAATGTTATAAACTTCTAATTGCAAGACGTAAATTTTATCACATGAGCATTTCATATTCCTCAATGTAACTAAATTTAGTAACTTGGCAATTAGAAAATACATTAAATCTAAGCCCCTAAATTACAAATATTAAATCCTTTACAGCTTCATCCTGTTTTACCAAGATTTGGTAAACGATAATTGATTGCCATCAATTAGAGGGAAAGTAGGATTTGGGTATGTTATCCGCAAGATTCACAATAGAACCTATAAATGTATGTCCAATATTTGGTTTGGAGGATCATTTGGGCCCACACTTACCATCCATATACAGCTATATTGAGTGCATCTAGAGGTACTAGTGCTTTCTTCATACTACTGCCTTTTAATGAACGCTTCTGCAAAAGATATACCTCATCAGCAAACTAATGATTTTTCTAAGCGTTTCAAATAATTTGCCTACTAAAACCAAAAATCAGTAAAACATTCACACTTTACACCATCTTCTTTAAAACGAGTCTTTTGACAAACAAATACATGTGATTCACAAAATAGTTGTTTTAAAAGTTAATAAACGACTTCTTGTGAATGCATTTAAAAAACATATCTTAATAATTGTAACCCGTTTCAAAACTATATAAAAACCAATAATTTTAGAGTTAAAATAATATATAAACAGAAAAGTCATTCACTCATTAAACGTAATTTATATAAATTAACTAACACTTCAATCTATGTTCAATTATTCAATACTCGATATTTTGCTTAGAATCCACGATGACATAGATCCATGGTGGAGGTAGTTCGGATGACCTCATGATACAGCAGTATGCCGGAATTAACAGAGTGTGTGAGACCAGGTAAGCCTGGGATAACAAATGGGAACAATTTTCAAATAACCAAATCTATACAATTTTCAATAACAATTGCAGTTTTAAAGATATTTTTAATTAAAAAAAAATCTTTTGGACACACATTAACTAATGGATTTTATAACAATACAAAAAAGCTTTAAAAAAACGCAATCTGGAAATATTTATATCAGCTAGTTTTATCTTATAATACACATATTATATATAAATATACATGTATATGTATAAATTAATGTATATATGCCTGAAATTTGCACAACTATATTCTAGCCAATTTATAGATAATTGGATTGCATCCCATTTATTTAATATTACGTAAGAGTAATTTCTATCAATAACTATAAAAAAAACTAAATTATATATTGTTAATTAGATTGATATGTTTTCAGAACGTTATGTACCTCTATATTGAAGTGTCACTGTAGATGCATACTCGAGAAATATCTCAAAGGTCTATAAATGTAAAAAATGAGGAATATTTAAGTATTACAGAAGCAATGAAACAACAATAACAGTATATTTATACTCACCATCACATTTACATTTTTATTTTACATTTCAATGAATTATAAAAATTAAAACTGCAGAAACATTTTGCAGAAAATAGTGTAAGAAAATTACAAAATATAGGCAAAGTACAATGTGATAGTTCCTTTTAGAATACGATAGAGAAAGAGCTCATGAATATGTTCAAAATACAGTTTACATTTAAAACTGGCCTTACTTTAGATTATACATTATAAACAAAACGAGGTAGGAACCTTGGCTTTTAATATATGTTGCAAAAAATTATATACAAATCTAACATCAATAACTTGTTGGGCAACTATATTTTAGAGAAGCTACCAAAAATGAAACTCAAACCACTATTACAATTTTGTATTCCATAAGTTAGGATACACAAACAATTATCCTATATCCCATAACTGATAAAGACTCGATTATCTCTTTTACGGTAACACGCAAATCAAAGCAAGAGAAGCAGAATTACATTAATTGTGTAAATTTGAGTGAATAAGAATTTTTCGCAAGCTATTCCTCTATTAGATTTATCACAATGCCTTTATCAAAACGTGGGCGATAAGGAATGATAAAATTTATAATTCATTTATATAGAAGATATCAACAATTCAAATGAATATATTGACATATATTGATCCCAGCATACAATTGAAGGCAATTAGAAATTGCATACTTACATCTTTTTTATAAGGGGCCTCTAGCATGGCTTCTACATCCAGGTCTTCCGCCATCTTGATTTCTGCAAGTTTCAAAAAGCGAACAAAATTCCAGCACTATTATAATAATTTAACCAGACTTACATCTGTAATTTATCGCCTGATATATAGAATTAATTACGCTTTAATTAAATATATTTTTAAGAGCAATACGATCACAATTTGAGCGTTCAACTAGCATTCAAAAATCGACGAACACTTTCATGTACTTGCTCACTCGCTTGTTTCTATTTGATGACGATGAACTACAATGTTTGCCAGATTGAAATAAATATCCTAGCAACCTGAAGTTGACACGAGAATTGGCGTTGTCAAAAAAAACTGGCCATTTTTATTGCAGATATAACCACACAAACATCATATAATAGTTTGATTATATTATCTTTTATTATAAATACTATACGAATATAATATTTTTACATATCATATCAGTAATAAATAATTTATGCAATAGTTTTAAGAATTTGTGTGAATCATTTCTCTTCGTAATGAATTCTGCAACTAAGGTATTTGCATTTGTAAAATATCTTTAGTGATTACTCTTATATCAATAATTAATATCATTCCTTGATGATCTATTGGCTGACGAAATATGAAACAATATTAGTATTTTATTATGTACTAGATGATGTTTTAATATTCTGTGCAATTGTTATTGTTAACCTATAATATCATATAACATATAAATCTTATTTACATGTTATATGATATTATATTATTATGAAGTCTGGTATAATTTTATACTTAACTTTAAATGAATATTTATAACAACTTCTTTTTCAGGTTGGCGAAATATTTACAGCTGCTGGATCAGCATTCACCAAATTGGGTGAGTTAACTATGCAGTTACATCCAACCTCTGATTCACCTGCTGGGTAAGCATCATTTATTCATCTTTTTTAATATATTATTATTATACAATATTATCAAAAATCTTGTACAGTAAGTGGACAGATGAAGAAATTGAGATGCTTCGGTCAACAATAGTCAGATTTAAAGATGAGCTAACAGTTATAAGTCAACACATTCAAATCTAGAACTGTGTAAGTCTTAATAATAAACATATTTGTTTATTTGTTCTAGTGCTCTAATAAATATAGTATACTGTGCACATGTATATCATAATTCATTGCAAAATTAGCATTGCATCACTACAATATGTGTTATTTTTATATAATACTTGAATTGTCCATTAGTGCACATATTAACACTAATCATACCAAGACTTAATATATGCCTAATTCTACCATAGCGGGTCAAATGACCCGACTCTATGTTTCATGCTTGAATGTATGAAATATGGATATTAGGAAGAAAATAAAAATAAAAATTAAATTTATTATAATTAAATAAAAAAGTTTGTTGAGCATTTCTATTACAAAAGCAAAAATAAGAAATTTTAATTCATAGTTAATCGCATTTTTTACATATAATTTTATCCATTGTACATTTTCCGCAAACATGTTTTTTACATTTAAAGCAAATTTTGTTGGTTTTATTTTCTTTACAGTATCCTATTTGACATCTCATACGTTTATAAGCATCTGTAGTAGACTTAGGCAACGATACTTTCGTATTTGTTTCGAAAATCGGCGCCAAGTGTTTTGCTAGCCTGAGTAAAAAATTTTGTCGCGAGATATTTTCCTGTCGTTTGCTTGTACAAAATCCAGCATTTATGCCAGCTAAATCAAGGATATTGAAAAAAACTTGGAGAGACCATGCAAGACTGGATTTTGTAGTAGTAATTTTCCTCGCCATTTGATCGGTCATGTCTACACCAATTTGGTTTTATTGTAATATGAAACTGGTTCAGGTAAACGTTTATCATTGTTTTTCTTTATCGTCGGTATCTGTTGAATCAAACTCATTTTTATTTTCAACCAATATATCTTTATTTTCAGAAAATTCATCTTCACGAATTTCTGAAAACTCTTCGCCAATATTATTTCTATCTTCTAAGAACTTGTAATGTCTTGTTTGCTTCGACATTTTTCTGGGTAAAAAATAACCTGTATAACTATAGCTATCAAAATAAAATATAAACTAGGTACTTACCAAGACTTTCAATTTCTGCCACTTTTTCTAACAATAAAAAGCTATTTTCAATCTAAATTTGATATTTTCTTGAAATTATTCTGAGCTATTTTTTCGTGAACTACTTTACGCAACAGTATTTAGAAGAATGTGCAACTTACTGACTACAAATATGACTTGACAATCTCATAAACCAAAAAATTCTCTCCGGGTCAAATGACCCATTGTGGTAGATATCGGTATACAAGAAGGATTACTCAGAATAAACAAAACAAAACAAAAAAAAATTTTGTTTATAACTATACTTTAATTACTTAAAAAAAGTCATGAAGTCAAATGTGTGCAAACGCAATGAAATTATACGTGCATTTTCAATGCAAAAGTTCAAAATGGGTCATTTGACCCGTCATGGTATGTTTAGTGTTAATAAACTATGTTAAAATATCACATATAAGTATGATATTTATTTAATTGGATTGCGGTGCACACATACTTTATTTTGCTTAATTATCATTTAGTTTATTTGGAACTAAAAGATAGCATAATAATTTCTTCATCCTACTAATATGTTATAAACAATTTCTAATAAATACAATATGTATTTCTTAATTTCTGCAGATCACAAATTAGAAGTACTTTAAAGAAAAAAGCTTTTGAAGATGCTGGTATTCCTGTGCGACAAAATTCAAATTCCAATCGCAAGCAAATAATTCTCAAAGTCAAAGTGTGATGGGAAAATCATCTGAGGTATAAAATAGTTTTTTGAATTAACAAACGCTATATAAATAATTTATGAACAATTATTGTTTTTCTAGGTGACTCTTAATATGCTCAATGCACAAGAAAGTGAAGTAGATGTTGAAGGAATACATACTGATGTTAAATTAGAATTCGAGAATACAACAGAAGAAGTAACAGGCTGAGTTTAATTATAATTATATTTAATATACCATAATTATGACAAAAATTTATATGAACTTTCTTACTGAATTTGTTTTTATTATTTTTGTTTAATATTCACAGTTTTTTATTTCAAATAAAAAAAAGGAAAAATTTCTGCAACCTATTGGAAGGAATTATAAGTAGATGATTATATATTAAAACCCAAGTATTTATAAATTTATTTTTTTATAAAAATAATCTTTTTGTTTCATTAAAAATAGTACTTATATTTAATATAAATTATATGTTAGTATTCCCAACTTGTATAATGCAAGTTTATCACTTTGCCTTAAATATAATTATTTTTCTATTCCACTCTTTGCTAAATGATTCAAATATTTTTATAAATCCTTGTTCTTGAATAAGTCTTACAATTTCATCTTCAACATTGTTCCTTATTTTCAACGATTTATAAAGAGCAAAGTCATCATTCGATTTTTGCATTCGCCTTACTGCATTTTTAGCACTTCCATGGTTTGCAATTCTATTATTAACACCTCCGTTATATTCATATATATTCAGACAGTTAATTAAACCTTCATCGCCATTGTTGAGGTGTACCACATAAAACCGAAAAACAAAATATATAATTGTATTTGACTTTATTGCTAGGTAAAAAATTAGATATTGACAATCGATCCTTTTCATTCATTATATTAAGGCAATTATAAAAAACATTGCTTTTAAAATCATTGTGTAAAATAGCTCTTTCTACTAAAAGTGGATCTATATCAATGCCATATAACTTGTAGTTGGTTTTTGGTGCTTGTTTATTCAGAAAACTATAAATTGATTGAGTTAAGTTCCCGGCATTACATCCGATGTCTAGAACATGACAATTTTCATCTTGCATATTGCTCCATATTTCAGTTGGAAGTGTTTGTATTCTTTTTTCGGGTGGATGGAATTGGTAGTAATTAATAAAATTGCCATATTTTACTGCACCAGGATCAGAACCTCTAAAGCTTATATCAGATACTGTATCTGAAGGAGATCTTTCTTCATTCATATTTGGAATTATGGTTTATAAACAGACTATTTTATAAAATAAATGGTGGCAAGTTATACAGATAAGTATATGGTGATTTCATAAGTTATATCTTTATTATAAGGTTTTTACAAGACTTGTTATAAAGAAGTTATAAGTCTCTTATAATACCACATTTTTTTTGATAGTTATTGAATAGCCTCCTTGAAGGCGTTTGCTTATATGCTTATTTGCTTGTCATTTTTGAAATTTCCAATTAATGATAAAGTTATAAATTTCGAATGAATTACTTAAGCACCGACCGAGCCAGGGTAATTTGACATTTAAAACCACGTTGACGTTTCAAGTTCTTGATTTTTAGGTTAGAATGCTTTATAATTATTTGGCGCAAAATTTGAAAAAATATAAAAATAATCATTTATTTAAATATGTATTTAATTAGTATTATATTTTGTAACAATATACCAATTGATAAAATATCTAAATTACAACAGACATTACCCAAAATTAATATGCATATAATGTACAAAAAAAATATTTATCCTCATAAGTGAAACTTTATGTATATAAATTTTAATAAAACATTAAATGTATTAATAAAATTCATACCTAATATGTACAAATAAAAATATGTACTTTTAAACAAAACAATGATAATTGGATCATCTAGCAGCAAAGTTAGTTGGTCAGTTAAAATCAGATTCATATTCGAATTCAAATTAAATCTGCGGGATTTCAAAGGTAACAAAAATATATTACATATCAAAATATATATTTTTACAAATCTGCAATATTAAAGTTGAAATTAGATCATAAATGTATAATAGGCAGGCACAAATGTGTGCATCAATAATTTTATTTCTCTTGTTCATTTTATATAAATAGTATTAAAATATAAATTTGGAATGATTGAACGCAAATTGTAAGTTATTTTTAAGTAAGTTAGTTATCTAAACATTTGTTGGTCGCTACTTTTCTTTTAATTTTACTGGTATACTATAGAAGTTTACTTTTAATTGGCAATTTATATTGACGAAAACTCATTAGCATATAGCACTGTATATATACACTAAAGCGGTACTGGATATTGTTTCTAATTAAAAAAAAATTGAAATTGATCAATTATTGCCTAATTTCATAATTTTTCAATCTTCTTCTTTTCACTAAATGACTGCATTTCTGGTAACATGATGAGCTTCTTTATAAAACTTCGATTATTTATACCACCATTAATGCTTTAATCTTATCTATGGCTTTAATATTCTAAATATTGATTAAATTGCCTAATTTTTATTATGTAGATTCTTGACAAATAAAATGAACGCAACTTTATAAGTCTATTATAATTCTATTCCTTTACAAACAAATGGAATGTTCAATCGAATATTGTTCTCATTGTGCCTGCAGTAGACATTTAATACTATTTTCCTTCTTGAAAATAACCGCGCATTATCACCCTGTACGTGTTTCGAATGCCTAATAAGACCTATTAAGCAAATATACTTCATAATTAGAAAGGGTTGAATCATCAAATAGATGCAAAAATATTTCAGAATTTTCCATAAATTTTAAATTGAATTGGAATAATCTTCCTTATTAGATATTATACTTTTTCTGAAAACTATCATTTTAATAAGGTTTTTGGTCAAATCTTGAAAAAACTTTGGTCAAATTTGAAAATAAAAGTTTACAAATGAAGAATTGATTTAAAAATCTATAAGAAAACAATAAAAATTTACTGTGTAAGATGTTTTAAGATTAGTGTGTCTTATGAACTAATTCATCAAAAAAGTTTTGCTTATCAATCTAATTTGCTAGATATAAAATGCATTTATTGAAAATACAGGGTTTCCCAGAACTTGACGTCAAACGCAAACTCAATGGTTGTCTCCATAGTTGTCTCAAGTTTTTAGAAATTAAGACTTTTTGTTGAACTATGAATTTAAAATTGTTAAAATTGTTCGGCTTTAAGAAGCCCTCATTTAAAAAAATGTACTATAGTGTGTTAGAAAGTTTCATCAGAAGTTGGCGAATTTAACTAGTTTTGTGAAAGAGTAAAATGCTTGATTATTTTGTTATTTAAATTTTCGAATAATAAAAATAAAAACGGCATAATATTTGAAACTTTGATAACTATATAGGTCATTACTATTTCAAAAAAAAATTAAATGAGTTTTTAAATACCAGATAGATGAAATATCCTATCTATTTTATTTTGTTGTTATCTTACGATGCATTTTAAAAATATATTTTTACCCAGTAAACCACAGAAGTTACCACCACGTAACACATTTGTAACTTTCGTTTCGAAACTGATGTTAAGTAAAAAAACCGATGCTGTTACGTATAGTTGTGAGCTTTAACCACCGCCGACGCGTTTAAACGTTTATAATACTGCTTTGTTCGTATCTGTAGGTACGTGGCGTGGTACGTTGCGCGGTCACATACATTTGCCTTTGAACATAGCCGTGAAGTGTTTTATGATCGAAATGTCAAATTAAACATAGGTTAACTCGGTCAGTGCATCGTCGTGCATCGTGGACGCATAATTGAGTATTTTATCGTGTATGTTTGAAATGCAAGATATTTCCTTTATTGAAGTGTTATTTATTAATTGCTTTTATATTTAGTGCTAAATCAGTTGTAGAAATTAGTTAAACAGTCAGCTGGAAAAGTATTTAATATGAAACCGGCAAACAAGGTGAGTCTAATTGTACTGAAATATATTTTAATTTATAAATTATTATAATAATGTTTAGTCATTTGCAGTATATAGGCCGCCTTCAATGCAAAGTCTGTTCATGTATTGTGATAATTGATTTATCATGTAATAATTGAAATTTCTAACACACCAGTCAGAAACATAACCTCAATTCAGTGATATATGAATAAAGAGAAGTAAGTTATATAGTTTTATACATATTCATTTTTTATAGTTCCATTAGTATCAGAACTATTTAGCTAAGCACAAACTGATATAAGTTGGTTTTCAATTGTAGAGAAAATTACAGTGCTGATAACTCCTACGAAAATGGATTTCAAACTAGGGATTTTCTCCAATGAGAAGATAAATACAAAGTTAGATAATATATTAGAAATTATTAATCCTTTGTCACTAAAATAAACAAGCAAGGCTTGAAAACATTCATGAAGAAAAATAAGAACACATATCGATTAAGTGTTGAAAAGAAAATGAATTGTGGAGTATTTCTTAAGTGATGATATTGTATTACAGAATAGGTATATTAATGTTTTACACAAAGAGAATTTTAACTAATATGATTTAGTACTAATTTGTAATGTTTTACTTTTAGGAAATTCACATATTTAATACGAAACCAGCAAAGGTGAGTATAATTGCACTGTTTTTTTTTTTTTAGTTTACAAATTATTATATTAATGACTAATTAGTTATTTTCAGTATATAGGTCATGTGCAATGCAAATTCTGTTTATGTATTGTGATAATTGATTTATCACATAATTATTGAAATTTCTGACAGACCAGTCAAAAATCACATAACCTCAATTCAGTGATATGATATGAATATTATAGGTAGATAAGTGTAATATATTTGGTATCATACATATTCTTTATAATTTCATTAGTATCAGAACTATTCAGTTAAGCAAAAACTGATATAAATTGCTTTTCAATTCTAGAGAAAGAGTGCTCATAACCCCTATGGGTTATGTCAAAATGGAATTCAAACTAGGGAAATTTGCTCTAATCAAGAAGATAATTGTCACCAAAGAAACAAGCAAGACTTAAAAACATTCAAGAAGGAAAACAAAGAATGGACCGGATATCACACATTATATGGATTAAGTGTTAAAGAGAACATGAATTGTTGAGTATTTCGAGACTGATGATCTTGCATTACAGAATTGGTATATTAAGGTTCTACATGAAGAGAATTTAAGACTTAACTTTACCAAGTCTGATTTAACTGAAGTTGCCAAGAGAGTTGAACATAATACATATTATGAATAAATAAATAATTATTTTTATAGGCTAACATTTTATGGACTATCAAATTTTAGTTTTCTAATGTTAACTATGTAATATGTAAATTTTGTATATTGTAAATGATAATATTTAATAAAATTACTAAATATCCGAAATTATTATTAATATTCTATATTTGCAGGAAATTTAATTAAATAAGTATGTAACATAAAAGACAACTACACGCTTTTTTATTCAATTTAGATACGTAGCAAAAATGTAACCGCGGTGTATTAGTGTGCAACGAAACAGCCGTTACGTTCTTGCCCGCGAAATAGATGCTTCTGTGTGCCTCCCAGGTTACGTACCTGGTTCGTGCGAACGTGCCAGCGTTACGTAACGTTCATGGCTTTGTTACGTTTTGTGGTTTACTGGGTATTTATTTGTTTCCTGTATTGCATTAATTTTCAATTCAATTTATTCTTTATGAGTAGCAAAATACATATCAGATGCCAAATAAAGTGCACATTAGTTTATCATGTTCAGTTTGCACTTCCTTAAAATAATTTTTATTTTGTAAGCTAAAATTAAGGAGTTTGAATTCGACCTTCCTTATTTCAATGCACTTTCAGCGCCAGGGTGCTACATCATATATATTATTATTTATTAATTTTTATTAATATTTTATAATATAGAATACAACACTGTATGGGGTTTTCTAATGGAAAATCTCGAAGGAAAGGGTTGACAATGTGAATAGAGATAATGCGGTTAATTCGGCTGGAAAAGTTATGCTATGCACGAACTGGTACCGTCTGCCACAGGTTTGCTGCCTGGTCTGCTTTTTACATCAAGAGGTATAGACACTTCCAAAATTAAAATACTTGCCTTGAAGTATCTCTTAAATATATTATTATATCACAAAAAAAGGGTTAATAAAAGTATGGCCAACGGCTATAACATGTACCCAAATTATTTTAAATTGTTCAAAAACATTTATGTTTATTCATTTTAATTTCTTCATCTATCGAATAAAGCTCTATTTATACCCTTTCCATCCATAATTTTTGAAATATGTTTTAGCCAATTATATACAAAATTCCATGATGAAATACATCGATATTTTAATATTATGGAATTTTATATTCATATTTTATATCCTCTAGTGATGTCGAGCAAAAATGTTGATTGAAATCATACACAGATGCAATTATAGTAATATGCTAGAGATAGTTCGTTTTAATAAAAATATTAACATATGGATATTAATAACTATTTTTAATATTTTAAATTATGGTCAATTATTTAATTGTTTGGATTTCTCAAGATACTAAGTTTTGAAATACGTGTCTGGTATTTCAATTGGAATCATATTTTTACCTGTTTAACCCATCTAAATTTTGATGATTATTATTGCCAAATTTGATCCATTCTGTTGTCTTTTGCATCATCTGATTTAGATTGAGGTGTCGGCGACAATTTTGAGGAATTTTTCTTTTACAGTAATGGAATTCGAGATAAAAAATAATTAATTCACCTTTAGCAATTATGCTGGAATTGACGTCTCGAGCTACTAGGATGTCTGTAAACAATTTAATATTTTATAAAAGTAACAATAAGGATATTTTATTGATTTAACATACAAAAAGAAGCAAAGCAAAATTTCCAGTTTAATTTTGCATTCCTGCATAAATGCTTATGTCGATAATTATTTATTTTTTATTCAATGAAATAGCCGTCAAGCTGCGTTATATACGATCTTACAAGCGATTATAAAATGAACAACGAATGTATCTTAGAATAAGGTAAAAAAACACAAATGAGAGAATTCTAAGTATAAACAGAGAAATCTCAATGGGGATTTTGAATGCAGAAATAATGAAAAGATGCAATAAAAATTTAATGTAATAATGTGCTCAATTATTATATAGTTAAAACAAATAGCAAGTATTATAAGCAAAACGTGAAGTTTTTTAATTGTACGCATAAAATGTGTCCATGAACTAAGTTAAACTTCAATTCGATTCACGGAAGAACATAGTGTAAGAAATTTCCTATTGTCATTTTACACAGAGGTGCTCGAAATCGGGCCATTTTCAATTGAAATCATATTTTTTATCTATTTTTTTAAGTGAACATGGAGATTGCTACTGCATGATATCAGGTTGTCCGCTTGAGCTCGCAACCCTGTCCACATAAGCAGCAGGTTCAACCATTATGTCATGGAATACCTTCGATCGCTTTGAGTTATACGTATAAGAATATGAAGTATGTATAAAGAATACGAAATTATAAATATAATCGAACTAGCAAACCCGACGAACGCCGTTTTGCCACCAGATGGTTTCGTGAGAAAGATGAAGAAATTTTTTGTTTGTTTTATATTATATTTTGTATTTTTATATTATACTTATATTGAAAAGGAAAAATTTGATTTTATTATACAACAGTAATGAATTTATTTCGATTACAAAAATAAAGTGTTTTTTAGTGTGATCTTCTCTAAGTAAATGAAAGTGAATCCGCAAATTATCCGTTTCGTTGAAGTGCTCTTTGGTAAACCACATTTTTTGCTTTTTGGTCTGACGTTAATAGAAACAAAGCGGATGGTTTCCCAACTCGTGAACAGGCAACGTGTAACTGCCCATGTGAAGAACAATGATTTTCTAAATAATTTAATTGAAATTTATCTCGCAAACACTAAGCGATTGGCCTTGCGACTTGTTATTGCAAACGCAAGGCGAACTGGAAATTGCAATCACTCGAAGTCAAACGAAAGACCAGTCGGAATCATTGGTATGTCACCAAATCGCCAGCAATTTTTTATTGAATGGTGAAATTCAGTGCGCGTACATCATTATTCTTTGCGGCAAGAATTGCTCGTTGACTTAACCAAGCACAATTCTGATAATTCTCACTAATGTTATTACTCGAATTTTTAATTACGGTGCGTAAAGTTCCGGCAGCTTGCATTAAGGCACGATGCCATGCACAACTAATTTTCTTAGCTATAAACCTTGCGGAGCCAGAGATATTTCCAACGAATGCAAATTTGTCGAAATCGGTTCGTGCGTTCTGGAGTTATTTCGTCAGGAAGGAAAACCCGACTTATTTTTATATATATAGAAGATATAAAAGTCTTCAGACAATTAGACCATTTATATGTTTCAACCAACCAAGTGGTTAATTTCAAGTATTAAATTTATTCTATCATAAAATTTGATAATTTTATACAAAATTGTAATATATTAAGAGAGTAAAATAATATTTTTTCAAATTTTTCATAATCAATTCAAATCTTTTGAATATAACTGAAATGGTCAGTACCTAATCATACTTGCACGGATCAAAGTAGTTATGTATGACTTGCCAGTAGAGTGTTGGCTAAGGTTTCTATATTGATTACAAAGACAAAGTTATCAAGGAGTATCATATCGGACCCTGTTTGTACACAAACAGACACACCTATATGAAATCTCACCCTCTCTAGACAAAGCCAGAAAATACAAAGACACCGGAGCCTGGCGCTTACACCTGAGAGGGAACGCAGGCCAGAGCAGGAGCGCGGCGCCCGCCTGTTGTTGGGATTGCGGGTGGGTGAACAATGGACATCGCCGTATGAGGCAAGAAACGAAAGAAAGGGATGAGGAGTTTTACGAGGGTGTGCGTTTGAAAGCCGTAGTTTCGTGATCTTAAAATTTCATTGTTTCTTCGCGAATGTGTAAATAATGTTCTAATGAACATAAGAAAATATATATATTTTTATCATTTTTATAATAAAAGGGATGAAGAGTTTTACGAGAATGTGCGTGTAAAAATCGTAGTTTCGTAATCTTCAAATTTTATTGTTTTGTCGCAATGTGTGAATAATGTTTTGATGAACATAAGAAAATATAAATTATTTCTATATGTTTATAAGCGATTGAATTATAAAAACTCACCCACATAGATTCTAATCAGAATCTATGCATTTTGTTGCAAATTGTCAGAGTTAAATAAAACTTATTCAATAATTCTTATGAAATGTTTTATGGACATTGAACACTTTTATGTATGAGAAGTGCTCGGATACTATATCTATGATCTCATGTTCGCCCTTGTAAACTCAAATTTGTGAATAATGATATAATTTTCAGCGGTTGAATTCATGAGCTATTCATGTCACAGAATATTTACAACTAGTTATAATAGTCACAAACCGTGATTTTGGGGTCCAATGTTTCATTTGATATTTTAGAATTACGTTTTTGGTTTTATCATTTTAATAAAAATCAGAACTTAAGGATTTTATAAGTTTATATTTTGATAATTTGACTAAACTAATCACGTGGATTTCATAAAACTCAACCCCCATACAGTTGTCCCGTCTCTGTATGATAAATTGTTAATTATTACAATTTGTGTAATAGTAATGATTTTTTATTGATACATCAATTTCGGACAAGGGCTGTTTTCACTTGAAAACATATTGCTTTTTATATATTCAAACCTATGCCACAACTGCTTGACCTCAAGTTGCTCGAGACGGATATCGAATCTGGCCCAGATTATCTTGGACCTAACTCAAATCCCACAGCTCTAACCAAGTACCCAAAGACGAGTTTCACAATCAGTAAAAATGAATATTCATAAAAAAAAAAACAAAAAAAAAATATTTTTGAAAAACTGTTGATTATGGGATCATTTGCAACAGCTATATACATTTTTAAATTCCCGAAGGAGAAGTCTATGTTTTCGCGAAAAAAATCCGATTTGCCAACTTTATGTTTTCTCTGCGTCATTTTGCATCGAAT